TATTGCTCTGGCTAGAACTTCAAGTACTATATTGAATAAGTATGGGGAGTGTGGACAGCCTTGTCTCGTTCCTGATTTTAGTGGAATCCCTTTGAGTTTCTCTCCATTTAATTTGATGTTGGCTGTTGGCTTGCTGTAAATTGCCTTTATTACAAACACCCTAATTGTCGTGCTAGAAACCTCATCCAACTACTAAGGGATCTGGATGCAGAGATCCATGACTAGGCCCTGGGTGGATCTCTGGGAGTCCAATTAGCGAGAATGAGGAGGGTTTATATGAGCGAGAATTGTTGAGACCAAGGTTGGATAAAGCACAGGGACAAATAGCCAAATGAATGGAAACACATGAACTATGAACCAATGGCTGAGGGGGTCCCCACTGGATCAGGCCCTCTGAATGGATGAGACAGTTGATTGGCTTGATCTGTTTGGGAGGCATCCAGGCAGTGGGACCGGGTCCTGTGCTCATTGCATGAGTTGGCTGTTTGAAACCTGGGGCCTATGCAGGATTGCTTGGCTCGGCCTGGGAGGAGGGGACTGGACCTACCTGGACTGAGTCTACCAGGTTGATCTCAGTCTGTGGGGAAGACTTTGCCCTGGAGGAGATGGGAATGAGGGGGGCTGGGGGGAAGGTGAGGGGGACAGGAGGGGGGAGAACAAGGGAATCCGTGGCTGATATGTAGAACTGAATTGTATTGCAAAATAAAAAAAAATTGCCTTTATTATGTTTAAGTATGTTCCCTGTATTCCTGATCGCTCCAAGACCTTTATCATGAAGGGGTGTTGGATTATGTCAAATGCCTTTTCTGCATCTAGTGAGATGATCATGTGGTTTTTATCTTTGAGTTTTTTTATATGATGTATTACATTGACGGACTTTCATATGTTGAACCACCCTTGCATCCCTGGGATAAAGCCTATTTGATCATGGTGGATAATTGTTTTGATGTGTTCTTAGAGTCTTCCAGTATTTTACTGAGTATTTTTGCATCAATGTTCATGAGGGAGATCAGTCTGTAGTTCTTTCTTTGTTGCATCCTTGTTCGGTTTAGGAATCAGGGTAATTGTAGCCTCATAGAAGGAGTTTGGTAATGTTCCTTCTGTTTCTATTGTGTGGAACAATTTAAAGAGTATTGGTATTAACTCTTCTTTGAAGATCTGGTAGAATTCTGTGTTGAAACCATCTGGTCCTGGGCTTTTTTTGGTTGGGAGACTTTTAATGATTGTTTCTATTTCCTAGGGGTTATTGGATTATTTAAGTAGTTTATCTGGTCTTAATTTAACTTAGGTATGTGGTACCTATCCAGAAAATTATCTATTTCTTTTAGATTTTCCAGTTTTGTGGAGCAGAGGTTTTTGAAGTATGACCTGATAACTCTCTGGATTTCCTCATTGTCTGTTGTTATGTCCCCCTTTTCATTGCTGATTTTGTTAATTTGGATGCTCTTTCTAAGGCTTTTGGTAAGTTTGGATAAAGGATTGTCTATCTTGTTGATTTTCTCAAAGAACCAACTCTTTGTTTCATTAATTTTTTGTATTTTTCTCTTTGTTTCTATTGTATTGATTTTAGCTCTCAATTTGATAATTTCCTGGCATCTGTTCCTCCTGGGAGACTTTGCTTCTTCTTGTTCTAGAGCTTTCAGGTGTGCTGTTAAGTCACTAGTGTGAGATTTCTCCAACTTCTTTATGTGGGCATTTAGTGCTATGAATTTCCCTCTTAGCATTGCTTTCCTAGTGTCCCATAAGTTTGGGTATGTGGTGTCTTCATTTTCGTTGATCTATAGGAAGTCTTTAATTTCTTTCTTTATTTCTTCCTTAACTTACTGGTGATTCAGTTGAGCTTTATTCAGTTTCCATGAGATTGATGGTTTTCTGTAGTTTTTGAAATCTAACTTTAAACCATGTTGGTCTGATAGAATGCAGGAGGTTATTCCAATTGTTTTGTATCTGTTGAGATTTCTTTGTGGCCAAGCATATGGTCAATTTTAGAGAAGGTTCCATGGGGTGCTGAGAAGAAGGTATATTCTTTTTTGTTAGGATGGAATGTTCTGTAGATATCGATTAAGTCTATTTGAGTCATAACATCAGTTAAGCCCCTTATTTCTCTGTTAAGTTTCATTTTGGTAGATATGTCCAGTGGTGAAAGTGACGTGTTGAAGTCTCCCACTATTAATATTTGGGGTTTTATGTGTGATTTAAGCTTTAGTAATGTTTCTTTTACATATGTGGGTGCCCTTCTGTTTGGGGCATAAATGTTCAGAATTGAAACTTCATCTTGGTGGATCTTTCCTGTGATGAGTATGTAATGCCTGTCTTGATCTCTTTTCATTGATTTTAGTTTGAAGTCTCTTTTGCTTGATATTAGGATGGCTACACCTGCTTGCTTCTTAAGACCATTTGATTGGAAAGTCTTTTCCCAACTTTTTATTCTTAAGTAGTGTCTATCTTTTAATTTGAGGTGTGTTTCTTGTATGGAGCAGGAAGATGGGTCCTGCTCTAGTATCCATTCTGTAAGCCTATGTCTTTTTATAGGTGAATTAAGTCCAATGATATTAAGGGATATTAATGACTAGTGATTGTTCATTCCTATTATTTTTTGGTGGTAGTGTGTATGTACTTCTCTTCTTTGGGGTTTACTACTGTGGGGTTATCTATTGCCTGTGTTTTTGTGGGTGTGTCTGACTTCCTTAGGTTGGAGTTTTCCTTCTAGTGCTTTCTGTAGGGCTGGGTTTGTTGATAAGTACTGTTTAAATCTGGTTTTGTCTTGGAATGTCTTGTTCACTCTGTCTATGATGATTGAAAGTTTTGCTGGGTATATTAGTCTAAGTTGGCATCCATGGTCTCTTAGTGTCTGCATTACATCTGTCCATGTCCTTCTGGTTTTCAGAGTCTCCATTGAGAAATCTGGTGTTATTCTGATGTGTTTGCCTTTATAAGTCACTTTGCCTTTTTCCTTTGCTGCTCTTAATATTCTTTCTTTACTATGTATGTTTAGTTGTTTAATTATTATGTGGCAAGGGAACTTTTTTGGGGAGTCTAGTCTGTTTGATGTTCTATAGGCTTCTTGTATCTTCATAGGCATTTCCTTCTTTAAGTTGGGAAAGTTTTCTTCTATGATCTTGCTGAATATATTTTCTGTGCCTTTCAGTTGGTATTCTCCTTCCTCTATCCCTATTATTCGTAGGTTTGTTCTTTTCATGGTGTCCCAAATTTCTTGGACATTTTGGGTATTGACTTTGTTGGCTTTAGTGTTTTCTTTGACTGCTGAATCTATTTTTTCTACCATATCTTCAATGCCAGAGAACTTCTCTTCCATCTCTTGCATTCTGTTGGTTATACTTGCATCTGAAGTTCTTGTTCGTTTACTCAGATTTTCTATTTCTAGCATTCCCTCTGTTTGTGTCTTCTTCACTTTTTCTATTTCCCTTTTCAGGTCTTGGGGGCAGGGCACGGAGATTGCAGGGTCTGCCGGGGGTCTTGGAGAAGGGGAACCTTCCTGGTGGGGGTGGAGGGGATCCTGCTGGATGGCCAGAACCTGGGGCCAAGTTGGGAAGGTCTTTCCTGGAATGGTTGGTGCCCAGGGATGGGACCTAGGGGCACTTCTCTTTATCCCATATTTTCTTTATCTATTCTTCTGTTGAGACATCTAGGTTGTTTCAAATTTCTGGCTATTATGAATAGAACAACAATGAAAATGGTTGAGCAAATGTCTCTTTGGTAGGATAAAACTTCTTTTCATTATATGTCCAAGAGTGGTAAAGCTAGATCTTAAGGTAGATCAATTCCTATCTTTCTGAGGAAACATACATTGATTTCTATAATGGCTGTAAAAGTATGCACTCCTACCAGCAATGGAAGGGTGTTCCCCTTACTCCACATCCTTACCATAACAAGCTGCCACTTGTTTTATTATCTTAGCTATTTACACTTGTAAAAAATGAAATCTTAACATAGTTTTGATTTTGCATTTCCCAGATGGCTAAGGACATTAAACATTTCTGTGTTTTTTTTTTTCATTTGAGTTTTCTCTTGAAAACCCTGTTTAGATTTGTACCTCATTTTTAAATTAGGTTGTTTTCTTGATATATAGCATTTTTTTAGTTCTTTATACATTTTGGTTACTAGCCCTCTATCAGATGTATAGTTGGTAAAAATCTTTTCCTATTCTATAGCCTCCCACTTTGTCAGAATGGCAATGCCCTTTGCTGTGCAGAAGGTTTTAAGTTTCATAAGGTCACATTTATTTATTGTTGATCTTAGTGCTTGTGCTAATGGTATGTTCTCTAAAGAAATTATTTTCCTGTTCCCATGAATTCAAGGATATTCACTACTTTGTTTTCTATCAGTTTCAGTGTATCTGGTTTTATGTTGAGGTCTTTGATCCACTTGGACTTGAGTTTTATGCAGTTCCAAATATGGATGTGTTTGCATTCTTCTTTGTTCAGTTGTCCAGGTTGAGCAGCACCATTTGTTAAAGATAGTGTCTTTTTTCTTGTGTGCATTTCTGGCTCCTTTATAAAAAAAATCAGGTGTCCATAGGTGTATGTATTTATGTCTCAGTCTTCAATTCAATTCCATTGATCAATGTGCCTGTTTTTGTGCCAATGCTATGCTGTTTTTGTTACTATAGCTCTGTAGTATAATTTGAAATCAGTTATGGTGATAACTCCAGAAGTTCCTTTATTATTCAGTATTGCTTCAGCTATCTTGGGTTTTTTGTTTTGCTTCATTTTGTTATTGCTTTGTTTTGGGTGTTTTTTTTGTCTCTATATGAAGGTGATAATTGTCCATTGAAGATCTGTGAAGAATTGTATTAGAATCCCAAAACCATTTTAATATTTTTTCTTACATAGCTCATAAAACTGAGAAATTATGTGAGAGTATTGCAATTTTAAAGAACTCTGTTAGTCTATATAAGACATTTATTTGAAGCATTAATGTTAGAAAACAGACACCTATTCATCTTCTCTCCTCCCACCCCCATCTTTTTGTTATTTTAGACAAACAAAGGGGATGCCCTTGCTAACCGAGTCCAGAACACTCTTGGAAGCTATGATGAAATGAAGGATCTACTGACTAACCATTCCAGTCAGAATCATCTGGTGGGCATACCAAAGAATTCTGTGTCCCAAACTCCTATCAGCAAAAGTGAAGCAAGCTTTTATTCAGAACAAAAGAATCGAATGATCCCATCTCACCAGGAGAATACTCACTCCTCAGCACCAATGCCTCCACCTTCAGTCGTGATACTGAATTCCACACTAATACACAGCAACAGAAAATCGAAACCTGAGTGGCCACGAGATAGTCACAACACTAGCCCTGGACAACCAAGCCAGGCCAGTAGTCAGTCAAACAAGATGCAGTCATCCACACAGGATCTGCCTCAAACCCGACTAGAAGACTTCTTTGTCTACCCAGCTGAGCAACCTCAAAGCGGTACAGTTGAAAAATCAAATTCATCTGCAAAGGAAGATAGTAACACCAAGTCTGGAGAAGATGCTTTCAAAGAAATATTTCAGTCTAACTCACCAGAAGAATCTGAATTTACAGTGCAAGCACCTGGGTCTCCCCTAGTTGCCTCGTCTTTATTAGCACCCAGCAGTGGCCTTTCAGTCCCGACCTTCCCACCAGGGCTTTATTGCAAAACAAGCATGGGGCAACAAAAGCCAACTGCATATGTAAGGCCAATGGATGGGCAGGACCAGGCAACTGACATCTCTCCAACACTGAAGCCTTCCATTGAATTTGAGAACAGCTTTGGAAACCTCTCCTTTGGATCACTGTTGGATGGGAAACCCAGTACAACCAGTTCAAAGACTAAACTGCCAAAATTCACAATCCTGCAAACAAGTGAAGTAAGTCCTTTTTAAGGTTTTATTTTGTGTTTGGTTTTTCTATTCACTGTTACTACTCCCTAAGCAACTCATTTATCTTGTTGCACTGTATGCTTGCATCTCTTCAAGGTGAGTTTGATTCTTGATCTGTGGTAATTTGTGACACAAATGAGTAACACTGCAAATACAATTAAGTCTCCATAATTTTTAGTGCCAAAATAGCTGGTTGAGTGAATGAAATAGTGTAGCTATAAAATGATTATAGAAAATTATCTTGTAGTTAACTTATGTACAAAATGAAAGCATTCTGTAGATAAGTGCATTAATTTTCTTTGAAACAAGAATCCACATAGCCCAGGCTGGCATCAAATTCACAAAGTAAGATAGAATGAGCCAGACTTCCTGATCCTTCCACCTCTACCTCCCAAGTGTTCCAAATACAAACAAACACAACTACACTCAGTGCCTAGCTCCACAAGGCATTGAAAACACTTCTTTCATGTCTTCAGTGTGTTTACAGAGGTATTCTTTGGCAAGGTATTAACATCTTCCATATCTCTCAGTCTTCCTTCTATTACTACTTTCTTCCACAGATGCCTACATAGCCCTTTAATACTACATCCATCCTTTCTGTAAAAGTGAAAGACAGTATGTCCAACCAAGTCCCACTGTGTTTAAAATGACTAAATGGTTTTTCTATCTCAGGAACCCTTGTGAAACATAAGTCTAGTGGGGCTGTAACCTCTCACAAACAAATAAATAGATAATGATTATGACAGGTTTTATGGATACTGAGTGGAGGACATATATGAGGATGTCCCAGAGATACCCTTCATGTAAACAACTGTCCTTTCAAGCAGATGGTTTCTAAGAAGCCACTACCTTTAGGTTGGATTTCTGTAACTGGTGACTAGAAGCTTGAGAAAACTTGTTAACATTCTTAATCAATCAGAGTTATAGGCCAGCAGTCTGAATCAATAGACATTCTGAGTTCGGAGTCCTGTCTAAATTACTGAACTATGATCCAGTAAGCCCTTAAACATTTCTTCTTTTCTCATTCTCAGTAGATATGATGATGGTGACTTTGGTGAATAATACAAACACAAAGCAAGAGAGGCCTAGGACAGTTGTTTGTATTTTGTTGACTCATGATTTGATATTGTCTCATTTTGAGGTGATTTGGTTTTTGGATTATAACTCATGAAGTCTTGTCAAGCTTGCACCTAAGTATCTCTCTGATCTGCCCCCACTACTCTACACTCACTGCCTTTGTCTGTGGATTGCTGTAGCCTTTCATAATTGGCTTCCTCATTCCTGTCTCATGTCTCTTCCAGACTATCTTCTCTGTATACATGTCAGTCTCTTCTTTTGATTCTTCATTGCACTGTCATTACTTTCAGAGAGAAGTCTAGTGTTCTTAGTTCCATGTGTGAGCCTCTTCACACTTTGACTTCACTTTTCCTTTCTTGAACAATGGCCACTGTTTAGTAAAAAAAAAAAATTCATGCTCAGCTGTACGTAATTATATTTTTTCTGCCTGCTTCTTACTGTATTTTATTATGCAGTCATCAAGGAATCTTAAACCTTAATTTCTACTGCATGTCTTAATACTGGGTTTTAATATAAAAGCTAAGTATGGATATGTCATGAAAGAAGAGGATAATAGGAAATTGGAATGTCATTTGAACCTTCCCTTGTCTTAGTATCTATTATTGTTCTCTCCTTATGTAGCAGTGGCACCACTCAGGACTGAACTGCAAGTTGAACTACTGTATAAATCAGTCTGGTAGGCTATTTCATAGCTCATTAACAGAGAAATAGGTCACCTATCCAATGAGATTCATTCTGTTGTAATCCTCTCTCTTATACATTCACAAAAATGGCTGACCCAGTTTCAGAAATGACTTCATGGTTTTTCCTCAGTTCTCCAATATACCAATGAGAGGTATATTTTCAAAGAGTGTCTGAGTGAGCTGTCATCTTCTCTGGATATGATTATCCAAGGAGCGATTGTTCAAATTGACTTTGGTAGAGTTTTGTCTAGAAAATGGGTCAGGTGCAATAAAGTCATGACAGGAGATCAGAGAAGAGAGTATTTTAAAATAGAGGTCTCAAAGGATTTCAAACAGGGGGAGAGTGAAGCTCAGGAACCTAAAACCAAAGGGAAAAAACAGATTTAAGGGGCAATGTGAAAACCAAAAATAGGAGGAAAGTAATTGAGACATTAGAGAGGCCAACAGAGAGCTTAGAAGGGTGTAGATTGGAATGTGGGCATAAATATCGACAGAGTGGAGCATTATGGAGTTTGAACTTAATGGAATTTATATGGCTAAAACTCTGACCAAGTCTGAAAATTCACCCTATTAAATCTTGATGCACTTCTCAAAAGCACTTAGCATTAGAATTGAGCCCCAGTGCATGGTGCCAAGAATTTTAGGCACCGGGTTCTGGGTCCCTAGTCAGTGCAGCTATCTTTAATGGGTTGCAGTATTTCTTTGAATTATTACCCTAGAGGCTTTATCTACAGAGCAATCTCAGTATTTCTCTAAGCATTTGCATTCTTTCCCTGGCTCTAGTGACAGGAAGCTGACATATGTTAGTGAAGTTTATTTGCCCTTGTTAGGGAGCAGGAAAAATTAAATGACCAGAAAACAGATACCACTCAAACATATACAAATAATCAGATATGATAATCTTCACATATTCAGAAGTTAAAATTATTGTTAAAACATGTGTGTGTGTGTGTGTGTGTGTGTGTGTGTGTGTGTGTGTGTGTGTGTGTCCATGTTAATTTAGGTCTATAATTATTGAGGGAATTTTTATTTCTCATTCTTGAAACCTTTCCTTGCTTCTTCTTATAATTTCTATACCACACTAAGAAGATCAAAAGTCCAACCAACTTTATGGCAAAAGGTCAGCTGTCCAATTGGAGCATATCATTTAAGCAAATAATTTTTTGTTTAAAAATATCATGCTAATTTTTTTAACATTGTATAACACTAAATAAGAAGAATTTTTTAGAAACTGAATCTGAAAACAGTAAAAGTTTTATTTATGCCCAGTAGAAACTGAAAATTTTTTGCAAATTTTGTTTTCTTAAAAATGAAATTGTTAATAAATAGAAATTTATACATGATTCTATTACAAGTGTTTGGTTTTATTGTTTTTATTTTTATTTTTGTTTTTGTTTTTGCATTATGATGAAAATATACTGGTGTGGATAGCTTTGCATTTTGCTGCAATTTCAATTTCTTATTGGTGTTGTTTGTAAACGGGAGATCCAGTATTTCATATTAACTGCCTCTAATAACCTGTGAAAAAGTACAGCACTAATGTATATAGTGACATCATCCTAAAGGTCATTTGCTTCACAGACTAATGTTGGCTGTGATTTAAGGTTGACTAAGGCTCCAGTTGCTTCAAAACCAGGACCCTTGTACAAAAGTTTAATGGAACTGATATATTTTAGTGACTAACTTGTTTTGACACCTAGCTGTAAAATTTTGTTCACATTCATAATTCTGCCCCCTTTTTTTTAGACCTTGTGCGGTAAGCACTGTAAGTGAGCATTGTAAGTATAATCAGTGTTAGTTATCACGTAGTAAATGGTAAACTCTCCTCCCTTCTGTGAGTATGATAGAGAATGCTGGAATCTTACCACTGATAGTCTGGTGGTGTTTGCCAACTATATGGAAATAAGACAGGCAGTGCTACTGAATATTAAAAGTCCACAAAAGTGCTGTCTACAACACATGCTATGTGTTTTCATTGGATGTGCAGCACGTGATTGTTATCTATTCTTATGGAAGTAAGTAAGGATTCAGCATCAGCTAGATGTGGCCTAATATCAACCTTACAAGAAAGGAATAGATATACTTTGTATGGTCTTACACATTCAGGACGTGAGAAAACTTTTAACCTTAACATTTGTGCATACATGTGTAGAATCCAGAATGCTCTGTATTCATACATTGGTGTGGTGGTATTGTGTTCCCCAAAATATTATGCACACTAATAAACTTATCTGGGGTTACAGAACAGAGCAGCCACAATATTAAACATAGAGGATAGGCAGTGGTGGCACATGCCTTAAATCCTAACTTTCCAGAGGCAGAGATCTACCTGGATCTCTGTGTGTTCAAGAATACAGCCAAGCATGGTGACTCACGCCTTTAATCCCAGAAAGCGAGCCTTTAATCCCAGGGAGTGATGGCAGAAAGCAGAAAGGTATATAAGGTGTGAAGACCAGGAACTAGAAGCATTTGGCTGGTTAAGCTTTCAGGCTTACGAGCAGCAGTTCAGCTGAGATTCATTCTAGATGAGGACTAAGAGGCTTCCAGTCTGAGGAAACAGGATCAGCTGAGGAACTAGCAAGGTGAGGTTGGCTGTGGCTTATTTTGCTTTCTGACCTTCCAGCATTCACCCCAATAACTGGCCTCAGGTTTGATTCATTAATAAGACTATTTAAGATTCGTGCTACACATTGGTGGTTGCTTTTATATGTTTTTCAATGAATTCTTATAACTGGTTCATTTTTATTGGTATCCACACACATTTCCCCAAACACATCTTTTCATATTTTTCCTAATTTTAGGGTTTGCTAAAGCTAAATGAAGTAGGTCCAGCAGAGTTCCTGAAATGATAACAAAGAATACCCTTGTGTTCTGTGTGAAGACACATAGGAAAAGAGGAGTCATTTAACATTGCTATATTTCAGTAATTAGGAAAGGCATTCTGAGAAGAGTAGACCTACACAATGCCTAAAATAGTTGGACTGTCTTATAAAACATTGGTTTATGGGAATATCCAGGAAGAGAGTGATTGAGAGTTAGGTTTTGAACTTGGTCTTGAATGATAAATCCAATTATGAATCTGGATGGCAGGTCATATATATTCATATTAGTAATAGATGGAGAGAAAGGAATATAAAATTTGAAGACAATAAAAAATGATAGGCATATTCTGGGAAAAGACTCATTTGTCTATTACTAAAGGTTTGTAAGATTAAGATGAGATAGGGC